GAGATCTTGTCTTTTTCTGCTTCCCATGTAGATTAGATCTATGTGAGTCTCTCTTAGTGTCCTCATTGTTGTCTAACTTCTCTGAAATTGTGGTTTGTAGGCTGGCTTTCTTTGCTTTATGTTTAAAAACCACTTATGAGTGAGTACATGTGATAACTGTCTTTCTGTGTCTGGGTTACTTCACTCAAAATAATGTTTTCTAGTTCCATCCATTTTCCTGGAAAATTCAAGATGTCATTATTTTTTCTGCTGTGTAGTATTCTACTGTGTAAATGTACCACATTTTTCTTATCCATTCTTCGATCGAGGGGCATTTAGGTTGCTTCCAGGTTCTGGATATGACAAAAAAAGCTGCTATGAACATAGGTGAGCACATGTCCTTGTGGCACGATTAAGCATCCTTTGGAGATATACCCAAAAGCGGTCTTACTGGGTTTTGAGGAAGGTTGTTTCCTGATTTTCTGAGAAATCGCCACACTGACATCCAAAGGGTTTGTACCAGCTTGCATTCCCACCAGCAATGCAGAAGTGTTCCATTTTCCCCACAACCTCTAAAGCATAAGTTGTCATCAATGTTTTTTATCTTGGCCATTATTACAGGTGTAAGATGGAATCTCAGAGTTGTTTTGATTTTCATTTCTCTGATGACTAAGGATGTTGAACATTTCCTTAAGTGTCTTTCAGTCATTTTAGATTCCTCTGTTGAGAGTTCTCTGTTTAGGTCTGTACTCCATTTTTTTTTATTGGATTGTGTGATCTTTGGGTGTCCAATTTCTCGAGTTCTTTGTATATTTTGGAGATCAGACCTCTGTCTGATGTGGGGTTAGTGAAGATCTTTTCCAATTCTGTAGGCTGTTGTTTTGTCTTGTTGACCATGTCCTTTGCTTTACAGAAGCTTTTCAGTTTCAGGAGGTCCCATTTATTAATTGTTTCTCTCTGTGTCTGTGCTGCTGGGGTTATATTTAGGAAGTAGTTCCCTGTGCCAATGCATTCAAGTGTACTTCCCACTTTCTCTTCTATAAGATTCAGAGTGGCTGGCTTTATGTTGAGGTCTTTGATCCATTTGGACTTGAGTGTTATGCATGGTGATAGGTATGGGTCTATTTTCATTTTTCTACATGTTGATGTCCAGTTATGCCAACAACACTTGTTAAATATGCTTTCTTTTTTCCATTTGATATTTTTTGCTTCTTTATTAAAAATCAGGTATTCAAAGATGTGTGGATTGATATCTGGGTCTTCTATTCGGTTCCATTGGTCCTCCTGTCTGGTCTTATGCCAATACCAGGCTGTTTTCAGTACTGTAGCTCTGTAGTAGAGTTGTACATGATTGTTTTGGCTATCTTGGGTTTTTTGTTTTTCCAAATGAAGTTGAGTACCGTTCTTTTGAGGTCTTTGAAGAATCTTGCTGGGATTTTGATGGGCATTGCGTTGAATCTGTGGATTGTTTTCGGTAAGATTGTCATTTTTACTATGTTAATTCTGCCTACCTATGAGCATGGCAGATCTTTCCACTTTCTGGTGTCTTCTTCAATTTCTTTCTTCAAAGATGTAAAGTTCTTGTCATACACGTCTTCCACTTGTTTGGTTAAAGTTACTCTGAGATATTTTATGCTATTTGTGACTATTGTGAAGAGTATTGATTCTCTGATTTCTTCCCCAGCCCTTTTATTATCTGTGTACAGGGGTGGGGGGGCTACTAATTTTTTTTTGAGTTAATCTTGTATCCTGTTACATTGCTGAAAGTGTTTATGAGTTGTAGAAGTTCCTTGGTAGAATTTTTGGAATCACTTATGTAAACTATCATATCAGCAAACAGTGAGAGTTTGACTTCTTCTTTTCCAGTTTGTATCCCCTTGATCTCCCTTTGGTGTCTTATTGCTCTAGTTAGAACCTTAAGAACTGTGTTGAGTAGATATGGAGAGAGTGGACAACCTTGTCTTGTTCATGATTTCAGTGGAATCTCTGGGAGTTTCTCTCCATTTAGTTTGATGTTGGCTGTTGGCTTCCTGTATATTGCCTTAGTTATGTTTAGGTATGTTCCTTATATTCCTGTTCTCTCCAAGATCCTTATCATGAAGGGATATTGTATTTTGTCAAATGTTTTTTCCGCATCTAATGAGATGATCATGTGGTTTTTATTTTTCAGCTTGTTTATATTGTGAATTATGCTGACAAACTTTCATATGTTGAACCATCCCTGCATCTGTGGGATGAAACCGACTTGATCATGGTGAATGATGGTTCTGATGTGTTCTTGGATTCGATTTGCTAGTGTTTTATTTAGTATTTTTGCGTCAATGTTCATGAGTGAGAGATTGATCTGTTAATTCTCTTTCTTAGTATTGTCTTTCTGTGGTTTGGGTATCAGGGTAATTGTAGCCTCATAAAAAGAGTTTGGCAATGTTTCCTCTGTTTCTATTGTTTGGAAACTAATAATAATAGTTTGGAGGAGTATTGGTATTAGTTCTTCTTTTAAAGTCTTGTAGAATTCTGAGCTGAAACCATCTGTTCCTGGTCTTTTTTTGGTTGGGAGACTTTTGGTGACTGTTTCTATTTCTTCAGCAGTTGTAGGTCTGTTTAATTTGCTTATCTGGTCTTGATTTAATTTTGGTAAGTGATATTTATCCAGAAAGTTTTTCATTTAAGTTTTCCAATTTTGTGGAGTACAGGTTTTCAAAATATGACCTGATGATCCTCTGCATTTCCTCCATGTCTGTTGTTATGTTCCCCTTTTCATTTCTGATTTTGTTAATTTGGATAGTCTCTCTCTGCATTTTGATTAGTTTAGATAAAGGTTGGTCTATTTTGTTGATTTTCTCAAAGAACCAACTCTTTGTCTCATTGATTCTTTGTATTGTTTTGTTTCTATTTTGTTGATTTTAGCTCTCAATTTGATTATTTCCTGCTGTCTAGTTCTCTTAGGTGAGTTTGCTTCTTTTTGTTCTAAAGTTTTCAAATGTTCTGTTAATTCACTAGTGTGGGATTTTTCTAGTATGTAAGCATTTAGTGCTATGAATATGCCTCTTAACACTGCTTTCATTGTGTCCCATAAGTTTGGGTATGTTGTGTGGGCATTTTCATTGAATTTTAGGAAGTCTTTAATTTCCCCCTTTATTTCTTCCTTGACCCATTGATGATTTCTGATCTTTTTCTCATGATTTCTGTTTCTATAAATCCTTTGGCTTGTGTTTTCTTTATTTTTTCTATCTCAGTTTTCAAGTCCTGAATAGTTTCTTTTATATGTTTGAGTTCTTTTTCTTGGTTTTCTTTAAGTGATTTGCTGATATCTTCCAATTTTTTGTTTGTTTTTCCCTCCATTTCTTTATGGTAATTTCTCATTTCATCCTTAAGAATTTCAAACATTCTCTTGAGGTTATTTTTTAGATCATTTTCTTCTGGTTCATCCATATTTGGTTGTGCAGGTCTTACTTTTGTAAGGTCTTTAGGTTTTACTGGTATTATGTTGCTCTTTGTGGTGTAGCATGTGATCTTACCTTTTATACTCATCTTTTCCTCTAATAGGTGTCATTGGGGCTGTCTGAGATTCTGTTGAATAGTCTTCTAGGTGCCAGTGAATCCAAAGCTCAGATGGTTTTCCTCATGGTACAGTCAGTGTCACAGTTCTAGTTATCCCTTTGGTTATTCCTGTGCCCGGAGGTAGCTCGGTGTTCCTGTGCTTTGGTCTGCTCCCTTGGAGTTTGCTGTCTCAGGCCTACTTTGGCCCAGGCAGCTGGCTTTGTTCTGTTTCTGTAAATCTTGGTCTGGATCTACTCTTTCAGAAGTCCCTGGCTTGGAGTTAGACCTGTTCTAGTGATGATCACTGACTCTGGATCTGGTCGCTGGCTCATTCCTGATCCGTCCGTGTCCCAGAACTGGGTTTGCTCCTGGCTTCTGCTCCTGGTGGATCTTGTTCTCTGTGTGTCTTAGGTAACTGGTTTAGTCCCACTCTGGTTCCAGTGGAGATCGCAGACTCTTAGTCAGGTTGTTGGCTCAATCGTGGTCTGCCAGTGTCCCAGGACTGGGTTGGCTCCCAGGGCCGGATTTGTTCCTGGCTTCTGCTCCTGGTGGAGTTTGTTTCCTCCTTACCTGGGACCTGTAGCTTTCTTATCTTATACATTTATTTTATAATTTACAACACCCCATCCAAACATATCAAGTATTAGATTTTTAATCATGGGTAGGCATTTTGAGTATGTAAAATTAGGGCTTGCAGAAACTGAATATTAGGTGTTAACCAGTTACCTTGACATTAGAGACACTGACAATTTAGAGTATTTTTATTTGTTATTTGCTTTTGTAAGGTATACCTACAAATAGGACATGAAAATAAGATGAGAAATAAATACATATTTACATAAAAAAACTAGCCTGGGAAGTCCTTCTGTATATATGTTGCTTTTATTGGCTAATGAATAAAGAAGCTGTTGTGGAACTGACAGGACAGAATAGAGGTAGGCAGGGAAAACTAAACTGAATGCTGGGAGGAAGAAGGTGGAGTCAGTGAGACGCCATATAGCCACCAGAGGGGAAAGACACAAGCTACCAATTGGAACCTTGCCATAGGCCACGAACCTCGTGATAAAATATAAAATAATAGAAATGGGCTAATTTCTATTATTAAATATTTATATTAATAATATATAATATTATATATATTATATAAATATAATAATATTTATATTATTAAAGATATAAGAGTAAGCCAGAAATACACTTAAGCTATTGGTCAAACAGTATTGCAAATAATATAGTTTCTGAGTGATTATTTCAAGTCTGAGGGGCCAGGAACAAATGAGCAGCCTCCTTCCAGCAACAGAAAAACTTTCAAATACAGTTTTTAAATTTTAGTTTGAAGTCAGCCTGGTCTACAAGAGCTAGTTCCAGGACAGGCTCCAAAGCTATAAAGAAACCCTGTCTTGAAAAAGCCAAAATAAATAAATATATATATAAATATGTTATTTTAAAAGATTTTATGTGCATGGGTCTTAGTGTGTGTATATATGTGTGTATGTGTGTGTGTGTGTGTGTGTATACACCATATGCTTACAGGTTCCCACAAAGGCTAGAAGACATTGCTGGTTCCCCTAGAACTCAATTTATAGGTGGTTGCTAGCTGCTACGTGGGTGCTGGGAACTGAGCCCAGATCCTCTGCAAGAGCAACAAGTGCTCTTAACCATTAGCCATCTCTCCAGCTCTTCATACATTTTTAGATACTTTGTGTATTTGTATGTGCTGGTAGGGGGGCTTTGTGCCATCATGTGCACTTGGAGATCAGAGGACAACTTGGGGTGATTGGTTTTCTCTTTTGACCACATGGTGATAATTTGGGCCATCAGGCTCAGTGTGACAAGCATCTTTTCCTGCCTAGCCATCTTGCCAGTTCAAGACCATTTTTAATGGTGCATTAAATATTTTTCACTTTTCAAAATAGGCTACATAAAGAGGTCCTATTTTATTTTCAGTGCCATCTGCTTTAACTCTCAGTTTGGGCCTTTAAGGTTGATCAAACAGCAGTGTAAAAACAAATAGTTAAATTTTATAATCAATTCTATAAACTAAGCTTTTCTCAAAATAAGCTTAGGTTAAGGGAAAAATCAGCCAAATCTTAATGAATTAGTGGTTTCTGAATGGAAGAGTCTCAGAAATAGAAATTTAAAAAAAATGTTAGCATTTAAAAAAAAAAACTTGAGAAAAAAAATCCCCATTGTTGGTGACAGCCAGGCGCCAGGCTAAAAGAACTGCATGTCCTAGCGTCGTCTGAAGATAAGAAAGGCCAGAAATAAGTCAGTAGAATTTGTCCTGCTTTAGTGAAAAACCCATAAAGAGAAATGATTCATGGGGAGGTATGGCCTTTGGCTGCCTTTTTTCTTTCTTCTGCCCGTCTGGAATTGAGATGCTATGATCAGAGCTGCAGCCACTGAAGACAGAAACTGCATTCCAGAACGGGAGGCCCCAGCCTCTGAGGGTGATGTGCACAGTGCATGAGCTTGTGTGTGCAATGTGACTAGTTGACAGCCAAGCGCCGAGCAGGTCCTCAAAAACAGATCAGATAAAGTTACAGCCACGGGATGTCTGTTTGGGCTTTAAGGTATGTTGGTAGGAAGGGACATAATCCCTCTATAGGTCCATATAGGAAAGATGAGATACTAAATACATTGCATGTCCCTACAGCAAGCACTAGAATCAATCATTGTTAACATTCTGCCACATGTGCCTTTTCTGGCAACCTGTTTTCCTTGCCAAATACTTCCAATATTTTCTAAGTTTATTCTCCTGTCCAAGCACATAGCTGTTCTCTTCCCTAACTCCCTACTTTGGATTAACCAACATTTCCAGTACATTGCATTACTGTTCCACTTATTTATTTCCCCCTTCTGTGAAGGAGGATAATACTCCCCTGCAGGCTCCAAGGCCCGGGGAACATCAGGAAAAGGGGGCAGAACAGAAGAGAGAGAGGAGTAAAACATTGTCTTCTGGTAGTTGGTCAGCCATTGCAATCAGGAACAATGGCAGCTGTGGCTATGTGCAGAAGAGCCGTGCCAAGAAAACAAGATATGAAAGTAGGTTTGGGAGACTAGTTGGGGAAGAAAGGGGCGGGCCATGAGGGTTTGAGGTAGATAAAGATGATAATGTGAGAGTGATGATGATCACAAGCATCGTGTGTATGAAACGGACAAAAATAGAAAAAAATATAACAAACAGCAAAAAGGTGCTGCACTGCCCAGTGGTGAAACTTTTCAAATCACTTCCTGGATTTTGCATTGAGATTATTTGGGGATCAAGAGGCCTTCCTGGAGAAAAAGCAGTAGTGAGCAAGAAATAAACTCAGGCAGACAATGGTGATTAATGATTACTTATTATTAGACTACTCCCAGTGTGCGTACAGCAGTTTTGAAGGTAGTGCTGAGTCAAAATGTGTACCTTGTGTTTGGTTTGACTTTGAAGCCCTTTTCAATCTGGAAGAGCATGCTGGTTAGCTTGTGCCAATTTGATACAAACTAGGCAAGAGGAACCTCAGCTGAAGAATTGTCTCCATCAGGTTGGCCTTTGGGCCTATCTTTGTGGCATTTCCTTGATTAATGTTTGATGTGCGAGAGCCCGCTCACCATGGACCGTGCTGCCCTAGACAGGTGGTCCTAGATTGTATAAGAAAGCAAATTGAAACCAGGCAGTGGTGGTGCACGCCTTTAATCCCAGCACTTGGGAGGCAGAGGCAGGTGGATCTCTGTGAGTTCAAGGCTGGCCTGGTCTTCAGAGCAAGTTCTAGGACAAGCTCCAAAGCTATATAGAGAAACCCTGTCTTGAAAAATCAAAAAGGAAATAAAAAAAACCCAACAACAATAAAGAAAGCAAAATGATGCCCATTATTTTGTATAATTGCCACACCCTAATAAAAACATTTATAAAATAAATATGGTAGAGCATGGTAATGACCTGAGTTCCTAGAAACACCTGTGGTGAATCCTACCCCATTCGTGGTGTTAATCAGGAAAGTAAACACAGAACAATAAAAACCCCAGAACCAATACAAAACCACTAAGGATTTAATAGATAAATGAATGGAAAGAAACTGGGAATTTCCAGGCAAACCATTAGTAGGATTTGGTGTCTATCTCGACACAAACCTATGTTTGCAAACAAACCTATGGTAGGTCAGCTACCCAATAACCAGGCCAACTCACCCTTCTGTCCTAGTATGCACACTAAGGTTTCCATCTGTGTTTTGTTTTTGTTTTTTAACTTTTTACATCTTAGAGACTTCAGAGGCGTGGCAGAGATGGTTTATTGTTTGAGAGTTCTTGCTGCTCTTTCAAAAGATTGGAGTTCAATTCCCTGCACCCACATCTGGGGTCTCACAAGCAACTGTAACTTCTGCTCCAAGGGAATCTCACACCCTCCTCTGGTCTTCTTGAGTACACAGGAATACACAAGCAATAAAAAAGAAAATCTCTTTTAAAAGATGCAAATAGGGGCTGGAGAGATGGCTTAGAGGTTAAGAGCATTGCCTGCTCTTCCTAACGTCCTAAGTTCAATTCCCGGCAACCACATGGTGGCTCACAACCATCTGTAATGGGGTCTGGTGCCCTCTTCTGGCCTGCAGGCATACACACAGACAGAATATTGTATACATAATAAATAAATAAATAAATATTTTTTTAAAAAAAGACACAAAGAGGAAATTATTTAAAAGAAAATATACTATTGCCTGGATCATACTTGAAAGCGTTCTGTAAGAAGCCTGGGACATGGCCATTTCAAAAGTACCCTCCAATTGTAAGATGTGGGGAAGGTTATGAGCATTGGCTCACTACTTGAGTCAACTTTAACCATGTTTGTTTGTCATGCTGCACTGACCAGGATCTCCGGGGGCTGTAGGTTTTAGCAAAATCAATGGCACTACCTTGGTGACCTGCAAAGGGTAGCAAGTGCTCTGGCTTGTGACTGTGTTTTTCTATTTTGTGACTAGCAAACAATTTGTGAGACAATACCACCAGATTTGGGGGAACATGGGGTTTTACACAAATTATATAAATTACAGTTTTAGTATCCATTAGTAATCCATGCTTGAATTAATTCCTAGAGAAACTCGCTGAGACCACCATTCTACATCTGAAACTAGTCAGCGTTCTCTTGTAAAGTACTTTCCCTCGGGGCTGGAGGTATGACTCAGTGGTTAAGAGCATTGACTGTTCTTCCAGAGGAGCCAGGTTCAATTCCCAGCACCCACATGGCAGCTCACAACTGTCTGAAGATCCAGTTGCAGGGGATCTGACACATTCACACCAATGCACATAAAATAAAGTTAAATAAACCATAAAAAATATTTTTTTAAAAAAAAAAGTACTTTCCCTCATCAACTGGCACTGGATTACAACTCTACAAAAGACAAACAAACAGAAAACAAATTTTTAAAAAAATCAAACCTAAATAAAAAATACCACCAATTACCAGTGGAAGAAGTTACTGGTTCGTGTAATAATTACCTCTAACACCATCAAATAAAGCTTTCCTGTGGGTATTGTTATGGTGTTGTGGGCTTTCACCTTTTCCGTGTACCATAATCAATGGCCATAGTTCCTACGGGTGCTCAGATCATCCCTAACTTGCCAGGTGGAGCACTACTCATACAGACTCGGGTTTTTGTCCCCATCTCTTATTACTCAGGCAGTTCTTTCCCTCCTGGCAAAGCATGTGTCTCCGTCTCACTTTGTGCTTTCTGTGATACAACTAACTTGGAAGCAGTCATGTCTTCTAGAGATTTACTCTAATGAGGAGCAGCGCTGCAATCAAGAGCTGATGATATTTCTTCTGTACCAGTGAGCAAAGCTGGAAAAGGAGTCGTGAGTTCAAGGCTGGGTAAATGGCTCAGCAATTAAAATGCTTGCCAGGAAAGCATAGAGAACCTAGTTCAAATTCCAAACAGTCACATTAAAAAAAAAAAGGGACATGTTTATTCCTGTAATCCCAACACTAGGGAAGCAGAGATGAGAAGCTCCCTAAAACTTGCTGGCCACCTAGTTTAGCTGAATCAGTAAGTGACAGTCTCAAAAATTAAGAGGGAGAGGGGTTGAGGGAGACACTTGATGTACACCTCTGACCTCCACGTGCACACACACTCATACACACAAAGTTGCTTTATATTGATGAGTACAAAATTTAAATTCACCTAGTAATATATGGCAGAGTAACATGTCTCTGGTATAGCTATTGGGAAGCCTGAGGAAGGAAGGTCACATCATGTGGCTTCCAGGGACCAAACTTAAGCCATCATCACACTTGGCATCAAACACCTTTATAAACTGAGCTGGCTGGCTGGCACTTTCTTTGTTTGAATCACACATCTTCAGAACAACCAGTAAATAAAGCAAGGAAAAACAAATAAGACCAATGAGAGAAATACAAAATTGTACAGAAGACTGATTTCTCTTTTATGTTCCTTGTTTAAAACTTACCGGGAAGAATTTGGAAGGTCCTACCCACAGTTATAAAGTGATAATTTAGTGTATTTCGGTCTTTGTAAGGAATTTATAAACGCTATTTAGTGATTTATAAATGCTACTTAGAAGTATGAGACAAAAAGAGTCACAACTACACTTTTAAACTTGGTGACAAAACAGCTTCGTGACAGTGATTTGTTGCGGCGGGGGCGGGGGGGGGGACGACACGACAACAGTGCCCTGTCTCCGCAACTTGCAGAATTGAAGACGGGAGAGTCGAGAGAGAAACCTCCACCGAGGCTAGAGCGGCTCCACCAGCGACAGGAACTTCCGGGGTGGGACCCGCTCAGTGCTTCCCCCACGGGGAATGTGGCTTTTTAGTGCTGCTGAGCTTGGCAGTCGCTTGACCGCTACTTCTGTTACTTTAAGACGGTGCCTGAGGTTGGGGGTGACCATGGCCAAGAGCAAATTCGAGTACGTGCGGGATTTTGAGGCTGACGATACCTGCTTGCCGCACTGCTGGGTTGTGGTGCGGCTGGACGGCCGGAATTTCCACCGGTGAGCTGGCTGGGCGGGAGACCGCGTGCGGCGCCTGCACTTCCGGGAAATGGGCGGGTCCCAGTTACTGGGGTAACCTGGCAGCCAATGAGCACTCAATATTGAGCGTCACCGGAAGGGCTTGCTACGATTAGACTTTGTTGCCTGCTAGTTGAGATATTGAAAAGGAGCCAGATACTGTAATTAGTGAAGAGTCCGTACTACTTAAGCAGAAACCAGTTCTTAAGCAAGAACTTTGTCGGGGGGAAAACGTAACATCCCGGGCCACCACTTGAACTCCAGTCAAATATGCAACTCTTCAGTTATCTTTGCGGGCTGACTGTTAAGAGGCCTCCGTAAACCTAGAGGTGGGCAGGAGTTGACAGCATGTCCCTTTCTCCCTGTCAGTTTCAGAGGACATGGATGACTGCATTGTAGCCAGGGAAAAAAAGAGAGAGAGTGTGTAAACCGATGGGGACTTACTATTAATAAAGGGTTACGTTATTATTAGTTATTATCATTTTACAATTGTATAACTACATAGAGATACAATAATGTGTACTGAGCACTTAATAAGAGCCAGGCAGAAATACATTTTGATTTTCTAATCATCAGGACTAATAAGATAATAGTCTCTATTTACCAAGTAAGGTAAAACTTCACAGGAAAGTTAATTAAAACCTAGTAATTGTATACCTTTTTGTCAGCTGATTAAAGCAAGAAAGAAAACTTGCAAAAAATAATTTTCTGTGTGTCTTATGGGTATGTAGTGTGTGGTCAGTTTTCGGGTGTCACTCCTCAGATCGGTCCACTTTGTCTTTTTTGAGACAGAATCTCTCAAGGAACTTTCTTGGAACTCACCAAATACTCTAGCCTGGTGGTCATCTGACCCCAGGAATCCTTTTGTCTCCACCTCCTCAGCATTGGGATTACAAGCTTGTGCCACCAACCACCACCCCCCTCCTTTTGTGTTTCAATGATAGAACTTAGTCTTCATATTTATAAGACAGTTTACCTGCTGGGGTGTTTCTCCATCTCTGGGCTGTAGTTCTCAAGGAATTATGTTCAGCTGTAACTAGTAACACACTTGTGGCATCGTCCACTCTTCACTGCTCCATGGATGGTGTTTGGTAATGATCAAGTCTCCGCCATGTGTACCCTTCTCGTTCGTCTGTGAAGGTTTGCTGAGAAGCACAACTTTGCAAAACCTAATGACAGCCGAGCTCTCCAGCTGATGACCAAATGTGCCCAGACAGTAATGGAGGAGCTAGAGGACATTGTGATTGCGTATGGACAGAGTGATGAGTACAGCTTCGTGTTCAGGCGGAAAAGCAATTGGTTTAAAAGAAGAGCCAGGTGAGTTTTTGGTTTGTTTTTTGAGACAGGGTTTCCCTGTGTAACTTTGGAGCCTGCCCCTGGACTCACTCTGTAGACCAGGCTGACCTCGAACTCACAGAGATCCACCTACCTCTGCTTCCTAAGGACTGGGATTAAAGGCATGCACCACCACCATCCAGCTAGCCAGGTTAGCTTTAAAACCTCTGTTAGGGTTGTTTTTCTCCCGTCCCTGCTCCTCTTTTTATCTCAACAGCAGCTGAGATCTTAAAGATTTGGGGTGATGTTGCATCTACAGAGGTCACATTTCCTATTTTAACTGTTTCTTTCTATTGAGGTCTGAGCATTCCTGTGCTATCTATTTTTCAGATGCTTTCTTTATCTGATTCTTTCCCATCTGTACCTCATCAGTCCAGCTTCCAGACTGACCTACATTGAATATTTAAGACTGTAAACAGAGAGTATTAAAGTAGAGTATTAGTGATTCATAGGTAGCTGCCAGTGTCATTCTTAAACTTTTAACTAAGGAGATAAATTTGATATTTAATTTGGTAGTATAATGAAACTCTTAGAGAAATCAAATTTTATGATGAATAGTTGTTTTAAAAATGTCTGTTCCCCTTCTTCCAAGACTGAAAACAATACCCAAACCCCAAAGCAACAATGACAAAGTCTTGGACCATAAATTTATACTACATCCTATGGAGAAACAGTTGGAGTGTGCTTGATAATTTTATGTCAATTTGACCCAAACTAAAGGCATCTGAGAATGAACCTCAATTAAGAAAATCCCTCCAGAAGACCCGACCATAGGCGAGCCTGCAGAACATTTTTTTAGTGGTTGATAAGGGAGGGCACAGACCATGTAGGTGATCCTGGGTTCTATAAGAAAGCAGGCTACCCTCTAAGGAGTGGTTGGGGGTGGGATGGAAGGAGGTGGGGGGTGGGAAAAGAGGAAGAAAGGGGAAGTGGGTTGGTATGTAAAATTAAAAAACAAAACAAAAAACAGTAAACAGCACCCTCATCCATGGCTTTTACATCAGCCCCTGCCTCCAGGGTCCTACTCTGCATGAGTCCCTGTCCTGACTTCCTTCAATGATAAATGGTGATGTGGAAGCGTAAGCCAAATAAACCCTTTCCTGCCCAAGTTGCTTTGGTCATGGTGTTTCATTGCCGTAATAGTAACCCTGACTAAGATAGTGAATAACTTAAATAGAGGCAGGCTACATTCAAAACATATAGCCAAAATGTTAGTAGTTTTTCTTAGCTGAATATATTTTCTCTTCTGGCTGGTTGGACAGTTTGTGTACTTTCTCTGTTGCATCCACAGGTCCTATCTTGGTGTTGAATTAATATCAAACACTTTCTTTTCCCTTCCGCCCAACCTGTCTTGCATTTGCAAGTAAGTTCATGACTCTCGTGGCCTCCCAGTTCGCCTCCAGCTATGTGTTCTACTGGCGGGATTACTTTGAGGATCAGCCACTTCTGTACCCGCCAGGATTTGATGGCAGAGTCGTGTTGTATCCTAGCAACCAGACCCTGAAGGACTACCTCAGTTGGCGACAGGCAGACTGTAAGTGGCACGGTGTGCACAGTTCAAGTCAAACTACCAAACCTGTACATTAACGCCGCGGGTCCCATACAAGGTTTGCTCATTGGTGTGTTGTGTAGAGTCAGGTATTTCATAAAAAAGTTTTTCTTTTCAATAGAGTCTTGAGTGTGTGCATGCACATGTTTGTATATGAGTGTATGTGTATGTGCTTATGTGTGCTTGCCTCTACAAGAGCCAGAGGGAGAAGTGGGATGTACTGCTCTGTCTCTTTCCTCCTGCTTTATTCCTGGAGCAGGTCTGGCAGCTAGCATGCCCCGGAGATCCGCCCATCTCTAACAGCTCAACCAACTCAACAGCTCTGGGGTTCCAGATGAACGTGGCCTTGTATTTATTTATTTATTTATTTATGGTTTTGTTGTTTTTTTTTTTAAGGCAAGGTTTCTCTGTAGTTTTGCTGCCTGTCCTGGAACTAGTTCTCGTAGACCAGGCTAGCCACGAACTCACAGAGATCCACCTGCCTCTGCCTCCCCAGTGCTGGGATTAAAGGCGTGCACCACCACCGCCCAGCTCCACGTGGCTTCTTACACTGGGATGCAAACTCAGGTCCTCTGGCTTGCACAGCGAGAACTCTTACCCAGGTAGCCATTTTCCCCACCCCCATTAGCTTTTTCAAATCAGAAGATAAGGCAGCCTTGCCTTTGCACTGGGTTTCTGTAGTGCCTGTGTGGTGGCAGCTGCCTCTTTGCTCTGAAACACAGAGACACATACACGTGAAGTCATAAGTTGCGCAGTCTCTGCTCTTCCCGGCCGTTTCCTTGGAGTTAATCCACTGATCTGTGAACTTTCAGAGCATCAGTGCCAGCATCAGTGGCGTTTGTGTTGTGATGCCTGCCTTACATGACTACACTGATGTAGCGTGAATTCTAGTTGGTCTTAATAAACTCAGAGTCAGATGTTAGGGGGTGAAAGCGGACAGATCAGGGAAGCAGAGTAGCCAGCCACTAGAGCATTTCTTACCTCTACCAATGCGCAGACCGAAGGGACAATCCTGTCCTCAGACTGCGTCCTCAGACTTACTGCCTAGACTGCACTGGCCCTCAGACTGCATCTTCAGATTGCACTGCTCCTCAGATGGCACTGCCCTCCCGTCTCCTGCCTTATACTCCTCTCTCCACCCAGCCATAGCACTCCTGTCTCTACCTCCCTAGTGCTGGGATTAAAGGCGTGGGGTCCCAAGGGCTGGCATCACCTTTGTGTGAGCTCTGTTTCTCTTTCAGACAGATTCAGTCTTGTAGCCTGAACTAACAGATTCCTCTGCCTTTGTCCCCCGAGTTCTGGGATTAAAAGTGTATACCAACACTGCCTGGCCTCTAGTGGCTTAGCTCTGCATTCTGATGTTAAAAGACAGACAAAATATTACTACACAATGAGGCTTGTAGTTGCGTGTTTTTATTTTGCCAGAAAAATTGGGAATGAAATTGAAATAATATAAATCAAGTAGGCTGGAAAATATTTCTAGAATGAATAACTATGTCAGCATATTTGCATAAGGTATTACTGAAATGACCACGTGAAGCTGTTCTCAGGGAATAAGTCTTACATACCTAGCCCTTTCCCTGTCTGTCCCCTGTGTAGGTAGACTGGGCAAGCCACTACATGATTTTGAGATCTATGTACTTGAAAGTAGAGAGAAGCTGGGTTGTGGGTTCCTGGAAGCATAAATAGTCTCTATATAAAACAATGTATAGAATATAGTCTATATATAAAACAATGTACAGATACTATGAAACATACTAATATATATTTATATATAACTAAGATTCAGTTTACATAAATGTTATTTTGTTTTCCTCGCAGGTCACATCAATAATCTTTATAATACAGTGTTCTGGGCCCTTATCCAGCAGTCTGGACTAACACCAGTCCAAGCCCAGGAGAGATTAAAGGTATAAAGATCCTATGACAGAAACACAGCTGACAACATATGCTCTGGTCTCTCATAGCCTTTCTGGAATGTTCTCTTTGGTTCCTCAGCTTCCTTTACAGCTCATTTTGAAAGGTTATAAGATCTCAGTAGCAGAAGCTCTCCCTTGCTCACTGTCAGCAGGGATTGGTTATTATGTCTCCCTGGGCTGCTGTGCCAGCATGCTTACTCCTGGCTGCAGCTGCGTCTTTTGGTGGTACATGCGCTCTTCTTATTCCTGCACGGCCTCTTCCCTCATGCTATGTCGTCCTGGGCACCTGTTGCTTCTTAGGTTTAGAACCCTGGAGAATAGTGAGAGTCAATGCCCTGAGAGTCAGATAACCATAGTTCTGTATCCTTTCTGCCTCAGTAAAGTTTAGGAATACTAGTTCTTGCTTCATAGGCTTATGGAAAGAACATACCTGATGCATTTAAACCCACGGAGAAGTAAGTCCTAAGTCAGTCCTGACCTCCCTTCTGAGATAGCACTGCTCCCTGTGGGATGATTAACTGCAGTGTGATGATGCACTCTGACAGCTCCTGATACAATGGCTTCTATGTTAGGATTCCTGGGGTAGCTGTCTTTACTACTGCTGTCAGTAGTGAAGACCTAACACCAGCAGGAATGCCAGCAGCCATGTCTAGTGAGAACCAAAATTAGATTTTGTTTCCTCTTAGAAGGGTAAAGACAGCCTTCTTCGCTGTTTCTTTCCAGAAATGACATTGGGATCAAGCAAGAAGCATTAGCACCAAGTTTGTATACAGAGTTCCTGTTTCCTGTCAGCGCCTGCAAACCCCACACAGTCTGGGCAGTGCAGCTAGGTTTGCAGCAGAGGGGGACTTGATGAATGTAGACATCTCGATCCGATGAGGATGTCAGGGGCTGGTAACGGTCTCGGTTAGATGAGAATGTCAGGGTGTATGTAGCTCAGCAGTCGAGTGATCTGAAGCTGAACTCTAGCAGTCCTGGGGGCGGGAGTGCAGGAGAAACCGACTGAGCTTTATCTCTCCTTGTGTCTCCCCAGGGAACTCTGGCCGGAGACAAGAACGAGATTCTGTTCTCTCAGTTCCACATCAACTACAATGACGAGCCGCAGATGTACAGGAAAGGCACCGTGTTGGTGTGGCAGAAGGTAAGGCTGTCTATTAGAGAAAAACGGTGGTCAGGACGCGAGAGCCCTAGTCTCGCCCAGGTTATGTTTTGCACACCACCCCGTGTGTGGTAAGGAGCTGGCTGCTACCAGGACATCGATACTTTCCAAGAGAAGGCAGTGTAGAGGAACATTTTGGATGCTCATTTCGTCAGTCAGAAGTGGCCTAGAATCTCTCAGAGTCGATGTGGATAGCATCACAGAGTTTAAATTAGTTCTTATTTTCTGCTGGAGAGATGGCCCAGCAGTTAAGAGCATTTGTTCCTTTCTAGAGGACTCGGGTTCAGTTCCCAGCACCTACGGGGTGGCTCAGTCATTTGTAACTCTAGTCCCAGGGGATTCAGTACCTCCTTCTGACCTCCTCAGGCATGGCATGCATGCGGTACACCTAAGCAAAATACTCATACACATAAAATAAATATAAGCCAGGTGTGATGGCACACTCCTTTAATCCCAGCATGTGAGAGGTAGAGGTAGACAGAACTCTTAAGTTTAAGGCCAGCCTGGTCTATGTAATGAGTTCCAGGCTAGCCCTGGCTACATGGCGAAACTCTGTCTTAAAAATAAAATCAATATTTTTTTAGGAGTAGACTATAGGAAGAATTTTGCTTTCATAAAACATTTAAAAACTACTTCTCCCCATATCATTAAATGGTCCATCTACTCCGAGACAGCCGAAGTGCTAAGCACTAAAAGATGTTGTAAAACGGGAATGGAGGTAGCAAAAAGACTTTGGCTTTCAGCAATTTCATGAGAATTCCCAGAAATTCACACTTGCCTTAATATTCTTGGATGCCTCCATTCTTAATTCCACCAATATTTTCTCTGCTGTCAACCCATAGGCATAATTATTTCTCTAAATTCATTTCTTTTCCTGTTAGTTTTTTATGAGTGCGTGCTTTTAAGAACTAAAGGGTACCTTGAGAGCCGTCCATCTCACTGGTAAGCTCAGCTCATTTACCAGCTTTTTCCCACATGTCTGTTCTTTGGTACAGCCTCGGATACTGATGCGGGCGCAGGAAACATACATTCAGTTCCATGGTCAGTAATAACCAGGAAATGAGTCCCCTGCTTTGTCCTTGAGTCTGCTGTATTAGTCGGGGCCTCTGGAGAGACAGCAACAGGATGAATGTGAATATAACTGTGTATTAGTAAATCACCTTACATTAAGATAGTAACAACAGTTGTCTCTCACCCAAGAAGGTGAGAACCCATTTGTTACCTGGTTCTTGGGCTACTCCTCAGCAGCTGGAGTTGTCCCTCGGGGGCTGTCTCACGCCGGCAAGGGAGAGAACCCTGAGATTACACAGTCCACGGGGCGGGGTTGCTCAGCAGTCCTAGCCTGGCACTGCAAACCTTCAAGGCTCCCGGGTTTGCTGGCCCTAAGTCAATGGTGGGAGCTGATTTGGGTGCCAGAAAGTGCTGCCCACACTGAGAGTGGGTCTTCCATGTCAAGTAAGACAGTCTGGAAAATTCTTTAGCCGAATCTTCCGACTCAGATGATTCTAATTGGTGGAAAGATGACATTAGGGACAGGTGTCAGTCACTCTTCAAATTGCAGGAAAGTCACCTGTTTAGAAGACGTGTTGAAAGTTTTGGTTGCCAAGGATTCACCCAGAGCTAGGTCTACTAGAGAGGAACTCTGCCCAGATCTACAGCCACAGCCCTAAAAGTACTGTTTTGTTCTGTTTGTTTTTGAGACAGGGTCTCACTGTGTAGCCCTGGTTGGCTTGAGACTCACTATGCAGGTAGGGCTGGACTTGAACCTATAAAAATCCGTCCGCCTCTCGAGCGCTGGGATTAAAAGTGTGTGCTCCATGCCAGCCTACACGTATTTCTACTCGAAAGAAAGATGTCTGTCTACTCTGTTGATAAAACTCTTAACCATCAGTGGCATATCAAATAAAAAGGTGAATTTCTCCCGTAACTCTCTTTGTGTCCCTCTCCCACTCACCACTCTGTCCTTGCTTTTGTCCATAGGTGGATGAAGTCAGGACCCAGGAAGTTAGACTGCCTGCAGAAATGGAAGGGGAAAAGATGACTGTGACCCGGACCAGAACCAGGCCCGTGCCCTTGTACTGCGATCTCATTGGGGACGCTTTCTGGAAAGAACACCCAGACATTCTGACGGGAGAAAACTGACCCTGCATTCTGCAGTTCTGCCGTGCTTAATCATGCAGGTCTCCCGGAGGCTCCTCTCCTCAGGTGGCTCGAGCATCCCTAGCCCCAAGAGCTGTAAGGAGCCACATGACTGGAACCCGGTGGAGACAGGGAAAGAAGCAATGGATGGAGGCGGCGTATCTCACTGTGCTTAAACAGAATACTTTTTTTTTTTTTTTTACGGTGTTAGAACATGACTTTGGCTCTTTTCAAAATCATGATCCTATTTTTATAAAAGAACTATGCATGCTTTGCTGAATGAGTCATTTTTAGCTGTGGCTTAAGCCTTACAAAAACCCATCACCTCTTTTCACCTCAGCTAGAAGGGGAGCCCAAACTTCACCCTCACCCACCTTTCTTACCTCGAGAACTCGGTGACTGCACGTTCCCACCCTGACACCCATGTACTTGCATTCATCTTCGGGCGTGAAGTTAAATATGGGTTCCTGCCTGCACGTTGCCTCCAGATTGAGGAATCCCAGAGAACGCTCGCGGATTGGTGCCAGGTCCCCCGGGTGGCAGCTTTGACTGAACAAACGAGGAGTCGTTTGGGTATCCCGCACCATTCCAGGATTTTTTTGTCTGGAATCATTAGCATGATCGTCATCATCTCTTACCAGGGACATAGTTACCAGTCACTGATCTCTTTTGAAGGGAAAGTATTTTGGGGAGAGGTGTGTGTGTGTGTGTGTGTGTGTGTGAATGAGTATGGAGAGCAGCTACACCGTGGATGCTGGAAGTACTTCCCTCGGAAAAGCCGACTTTGCGTTAGACTTCTGGGCAAGCATTTTCAAACAGCCTCAGTGTAGTCACAACCGTAACCTTGGAATTCGAGAGCACCAGGAGGCCTGATACGGTGGTTTAGCTTAATCCTAGCCCTCAGGAGGTTGAGACAGGAAATTTGAAGCCAACATTTGAAGCCAGACTGGACTACATGGCAGGACTATAAGAAAGGGTGGAGTTGGAGGCTCTGTTGGTTTCAGAGGTTTGAAAATAGCCCCTCCTGCTGATGGCAGGATGGAGTTGGCAAGGGGGTGGAGAGTAGTGGTAAGAATCATTTGTTGGGGGCTGGAGAGATGGCTCAGCAGTTAAGAGCATTTCCTGCTCTTCCAAAGGTTCTGAGTTCAATTCCCAGCAACCACATGGTGGCTCACAACCATCTGAAATGAGATCTGATGCCCTCTTCTGGCCTGCAGGCAGACACACAGACAGAATATTGTATACATAATAATAAATATTTTTTAAAAAATCATTTGTTGCCAAGGTGTTGGACTCAATGGAAAAATCACGTTTCCCCTTGACCTTGTTTTATATTTTAGAGGAAAAGGATTATTTGCCTCCATCAGGAATTAATTAAAAGACAGCCCATGTCCTGCTTTCCAGTCTTGATTGCAGAATTTCCAGCCAAGAAGAAAATGTATTTTTGAAGGAACAGCGTCTGGCCTCATCCCTCACTAATTGACACCCCATCTGCTGATGCCATTTTTTTCCTTCCTGTTCTCCCCACTCCCCAGGAAGAAGCAATAGAGCTCATGTTTGGCAACTGCTAAAATCTTTTTAAGGGTGGGGGGGGAGTATAATAAAGATTTCAATTTCTTGGCCCTCTTAATTGATTTCTGCAGAATGAGTCTAACGTGTGTGTGTGTGTGTGTGTGTGTGTGTGTGTGTGTGTGTGTGTGTGTTTGAGGAAGCTAGGAGGCATATACCCACATGACAGACATCCAGACACTTCTGGATACATTTTAAAAAATGTTCCTTTGAATGCTGAATTTGAAAGTGCCAGTGTAAAACACCCATGTGGATATTTGAGACTCAGCAATGTGGGTTTTTTTTAAAGCCCAAAGGCTTCTGATACACGGCTATCAGCATTATAGCACTTTTGGCAAGCAATTCCCTCAGCATACTGATGAGGCAATGAGATCATTAGTTCGTGATGAGCAAATTTAACTTAATGGTTAAGTAGATAGCATGTTATATCAAAGTTGAACCAGTAGGGAATAAAAACCAAGGTTTCATGACAAGCTCTAGAGGAAGTTTGTGCTTTCAGACACTGGACTGGTCCAGATAGTCGTTTACAGGAAGTTATGAGGCTTGGAGGTTTTCACTCACAAAGGGGATTTTAAAGCAGTAAACCAGGTTTAATACCCATGCCATAAAGAAACCATTCCTGGGCTGGAGAGATGGTTCAGCAGTTAAGAGCACTGGCTGCTCTTCTAGAGGATCCAGGTCCAACTCCCACCACCCACATGACAGTCACAATTATCTGTCACTTCAATCCCAAGGGATCTGATACCCTTACACAGATATGCATTAAGCTAAACCACCAATGCATATAAAGGCAAATAAACCTTAAAAAAAAATGTTGTGTGTTTACATCCCACTGTGGATCTCACAGTTGCCTGTTAATTTTCATCTTTGTCTTGAAGATATTAAAGTATTCTTTTGGGTCACATTTTCAAACTTAAACATAAAGTAAATTAGACCCTAAAACAGCTAGTGTAGACTAAATCCTGGTTGATTTTTTGAGAAGATGGCAGCCGTGAGGAGAGTGATTTATGTGGTTAGAGATGGCAGGAAAGAGGTTGGCTCTACTGGATGAAGAGATTCTAAACAGGAGACTCAAAAAAAAAAATTGGTTTGGGGCTGGTGAGATGGCTCAGTTGTAAGAGCACTGGCTGCTCTTCCAGAGGACTGGGCTTCAATTCCTTGGAACCACATGGCAGCTCCCCACTGTCTATAACTCCGATTCCAGGGCATTTGAACACTCTGGCTTCTGCTGGCACTGATTATCACAAGTGGTGCACAGACATACACGCCAGCAGACGTACGTACACGTGAAATATATTTTAGTTTTGCTCAATTCGACCTATAAAATAGTGTTGGTCTGATCTTATCATCCTTTAGATTCTGCAGTGCTCGGGAAGGCGATGGAGTGAATTTTCTTTTCTTTAATACTAAGGGGTCACCAGACCTAGTGAGCAGGGAAAGGAAATGAGGATTGGAGTCACCCATCTTTTATGGTATTTAACCAGCTAATATGCACCCATTGTGTGCGCTGTACCCTTCCTGTCATATTTCAGATGACAGTAGAAATCCAAAGAGAAGCAATAATTTGAGCTCCGACTGGCTAATGCGACCCGACCCATATCAGGGGCAGTACGTAACAGGAAAACGAAATGGGGTATGTTTTGCTGTCCTGTCCTTGGTCTCCAGCACAAGTTGGACAACAGAGAATGTCCGGGGACTTTGAAATGTAGGTCTCAGGGCTATCTCGGAGCATCAAACACCCTAAGCTAAGTATCAAATGAATTTTTGAAATAAATGGTTAATTTTTGTACTGTGTTCACAAGGTTGGCTTTGTTTTCGAATAATTTGTCCCTAGTTGTTTATTTTGTTGACGTTAGATCTCAAATTCAGAAAAGACAGTAAATGTCAATAGGAGGGGGAAATGAGAACTTATAAATAGTATGTACTTCACTAACAAGAGGAAAAGGTCAGAGGACAGTCTCAACCTATCAGCTGTCTGTGAGGCGGAGCGAGGCCTAAGTAGGTCACGCCTTCGGCCACGCCCCCACCGCGCGCCACGCCCCCTGCAGCTCTCCGCCGCAAGTCGATGCTGCTCCCTGGTGGCCGCGGCTGCTCAGCGCGGTCCCCG